GTAAGCTGATTATATTAATATCATTAATTGTGATATGTATACATCATACACTTGACTAATGAGATGGTACGAAAAAATAAAATAAAATAAAATAGAATTGATTTTTTTTTTTTTTTTTAAGATTCACAACCAAAGCTATACATTCAATCTTATTTTATTTTATTTGGCTCAACAATAAAATCAAATACACATTAATTAACATTGTCACATTATTCTTGTCAAATTTTATGCATATCTAGAATTTTTTAAATTTATTTAAAAAAAATTAAGGACATTGTCTAGTGTAGGTTTCGGTTTGCTTTTCTATGTTATTTTATTTTGTTATGTATTGTAATTTTCAGAATGGTTTGCTTGTTCTGAAATTTCAATTAACGAGTATGAATCTATTTGTTTTATGTTATCACACAATTTATACAATATGTATGTACATATATGAATGTATTTGAAAATAAAGAAATTGTAGAGAATCGAAACAAGCATGAGTCGTGATTGGCTAGAAAGCATGGGTACAAAGATTTATTTGCTGGAAAAACAAAAAGGGAATATAAAGTCGTACCAAATAATTTTTTTAAAAATAAAATTTTTTTCTTAGTTATGAACAGATTTAACTGAAATCAGCTTGTTTCCCAATGTTATGCTTCATTTATTTAGATAGAAAATATTTTTTAATGAAAAATATTTTTTATAAAAAAAATTCAAAATATATTTTTTTATATTTGGTGGTGGTGGTGATGGAACGAAGGTGAAAGTAGAAATTGTTACATTGTGGTGGGGTGATGGCGGCAGTGATGATGGTAGTGGCTATGGTGATGGTAGTGTGACAGTGAAAGTGAGAATAGTGGTGACGGTGTTTTGAAATTAGTAAAAATTTAATTGAAAAAATATTTTTTGTTTTTTAAAAGTAACAAACAACAAAATTTGTGGGGGACTAAAGGAAGAAGATGGAGAATGGATTGGGTGTGGCAAGGCATAGATATCTTAAAATGAGTGGTTCAGATTTGTTAAAATGTGTAATTAGATTTTGGATAAATTAAAATGAATAGTTCAAATTTGCTAATAGAAAGATGGTTTAATGTCTAAAATGTCCGTAGCTAAGAGATTAACAAACAATTCCTAGTTTATGCCCTGATGCAATTTAATATGGGTCTTATAACACTTTCTTCAGACATGTTCTTTCACATTTTATTTCTTCAAACAAGCTCTTATAACATTGTAAACAGGTTTTTATAACATATAGGGGAGAGAGTGAGAGAGAGAGATGGTTGTAATTTTTTTTTATCTTCCACGTTCTTCCACATTTTTTTTTTCAATTACTGAAACTTATTTGATTGTCTCAAAATTATATATTTGATTATTACAAAACAAATGTGTATTTGATTTTGTTGTTGAACCAAATAACATAAAATAAGATTGAATGTATATTTAGCTTTTGTTGTGAACCTTAAAAAAAATAAAATAAAAAAATAAGTTGTTAACATTAAATATATTAAAAAAGAAAGAAAAAAGATTGAAGGTATATTTAGCTAAAACCTTAAAAAAAAAAAAATTTGTTAACATTAAATATATTAAAAAAGAAAGAAAAAAGATTGAAGGTATATTTTGCTTTTGTTGTGAACCTTTAATTAAAAAAAAAAAAAGAAAAAAAAAAGGTGGTTGTTAACATTAAATATAAAAAATAAAAGTAAAGATTAAAGTGGGTTGGGAAAAATCCAAACCCATTAAGAAATAGGGAGGGTGGTACCATGGGGAATGAGGAATGGGAAAAATTTATTATAGGAGAATGGGGATGGGGAATTAATATCCACCCCATTAACCCCATTGCCATCCCTAGTGTGGGACTCACACAATGTGAAGTCCTACATCTATATGAAACATTTGATAGAACTTTTAATAGAATTTTTAAAATTTCTTACATTTTTGCATCGATTTTTTAATTTATTCGACCATTTGATTAGATAATCATGAAACATGAATTTCATTTTCATAGAAAAAAAAAAGACTACACAGAAGAAAATGTCAAGAAAATTTATTCAAATGGTGATGTGTAGAGGTATGCGCGGTGCGGGTCAGTGCGGTTTGAGAAAAAAAAAGAAACCGTATGGCGGTGGGACTCACACAATGTGAAGTCCTACATCTATATGAAACATTTGATAGAACTTTTAATAGAATTTTTAAAATTTCTTACATTTTTGCATCGATTTTTTAATTTATTCGACCATTTGATTAGATAATCATGAAACATGAATTTCATTTTCATAGAAAAAAAAAGACTACACAGAAGAAAATGTCAAGAAAATTTATTCAAATGGTGATGTGTAGAGGTATGCGCGGTGCGGGTCGGTGCGGTTTGAGAAAAAAAAAGAAACCGTATGGCGGGTGGCGAATTGATAAAAGTGTCACTAGAATTTGTCATTTTTCTTATCAAAAATCGGCGGTTCGGTTGGCAAATAATGATAGATTTGCCTTGACAGTTCGGGCAGATTGGTGATTTATAAAAAATATAAATATTTGTTTACTTATTGGAAACTCAATTGACACAATTTTAACATTAAAGACCAAAATAATACCAATTACATAGTTTAAGAATTAAAAGCGTAATTTTTTAATTGCATTTACACATTTACTTTTATATTTAACAACATCTATTGACGAAGTTAGGTTAAGGGGCCAAATAAAAACACATTTTACACATAAAAATTAAAATTGATATAATTTAAATATCAAAGTCTAAAATGACATTACTTGCATATTTTAAAAACTAAATAATTAATTAACCATAAATATATTTTTATGAGTATTTTTGGATAACTTTTTTATGTGGTATTATTTTTCCTTTTAGGATGTGGGGTTGGTGCTATGACGTGCTATGTTGTTTCTCGTAAATGTATTTTGATATTTTGAATTGTTTGTATTATAAGATTTATTAAATATATCATTTATATAAAAAAAAAATTTAAGTTAAACAAACATATGTAGTTCTATGATCAAATCGTAATTGTTTAAAAAAATTATTAAAATTATGTTAATTATTATTTTTTTTAAAAAAAAAATATAATCTTATTATAGATTACAAATGTCTAATTAATTTATTTTTCTTAGGATCAATTGGTGAAAAGTCTACACCAATAGAGCCATATATTATTTAGTCTAAAATTTAATTATTTTTGATGATAAAAACATGCGTTGAAAAGTCAAAAAAATTGACAGTGGCTAATTGTGATAAGATGAACAAATAGATAATATTAAAAATATATATAAATAAACAAGTGACGTGTATTCAAATTGTTGACATTTGAGTGACAAGTATACCACATGCATTGATAAAAAAGAGATTTAAACTTGATCTGTTGACTCATCAGTTTGAGAAATATACTTTGGCTTGAGTTTCTTTTTAAAAAAATATTTGAGGTTGTTAAAAATATTCACAATTCTATTTACAATAATGTGATAGTATATGTGTTAACTTTTAACTTGTTACACATTTAATGATTGTAAGCCCAACTTTCATGTCATATTATTGTGGATGAATTTGTGAGTATTGTGTGATTCTCTAATATTATTATTATTATTTTTTATAATACCATCTCCAATCATTCAAATTTAAAATTGATGAAAAAAACATAAAAATCGAGCTCTGTTTTATCAAATCGATATTAAATGAAAGGAGAGTTAAATTTTGCATCAAATTAAGAGAGAGTTTTATCCTTTCATCAAATTTTGTAAAGTAGCCATTGGGCTAAAAGTTTGCCTGAACTTCATCCCGAGATCCTCTGGAACAATCGGCCTTTCTTTATCTAAATATCAATTTTCACCCATAGCGGGATGTCCTCCCGTATGGCTGGTAAGAAGATTTGATAAAAAAATATATATATATAGTTATCATTAAAATGTATTATATTGACCAAATTTTTATTCAAATTGGAATGAATTCTTCAGTATAAAGATTCGGATAATTGAAATTGACTTGGACAAACCCTATAGGCTTCACAACAGGGGGTGCTTTGGCATGCACCAACCCCACGTCCATCATTTTCACCATCCATGTCAATCTGTTTGTTATAGGTAGGGCAATCCTTGCGGCATTCGGGTTTGAGACTGTGTTCTCATTTTCGTATATTGGAGAATCCGTACCAACACCAACCCCAACCCCAACAACAGCTACTTTTGTTTTCTCAACGCACATATGTTGTTCGATGTTTTACCTCAAACACACATTTGTTAATAGTATTAGCCTCTGTTTGGGAAGAGATTTTTTGGACTTTTTTGGTTAAAATAGTCACAAAAAATAAAATAGGCTATTTTAGTCATAACAAACAAAATATTACATCCAACCCATAATCATTATACTCTTCTTTCACAAAAAAAGTCAAAAAAAATAAGAAAGCCAAAAAGCTCTTTCCAAACTAAGCTTTTTAACTCAGGTTAAAATAACTAAAAAAAGCTAAAAAGTCAACCCACTTCCCAAACCAACCCATATGAAGTTGCTTTTGTTTACTACTTGCTTGGATGATTATGTGGAAGTTTGGGAATTTGTTATTTTAGAAAGATATTTTAGTTTTTGGCTATTTTTGGAGGTTAAAATTTTTGTATTTAGAAAGATAGTTGAATTTTTTTTATAGTTAAATGTAATGTTTGTAAGAGAAAAAATGAAATGATTATGAATTTGACGTGACATTTTATTTTATTAACTATTTTAATTTATTTTGTCTTTTAACACTATTTTAGCCAAAAAAAAAAAACACTAAAAAAACTTGTTTCCAAACACCCCATGTGTTTTTTTCTTTCCTTATGTATCTATCTGTCTATCTATTGCAACAATCAGAACAAAAAGGTACTAAAATTAAATAAATAAGAGTTTCAGGCTCACAAGTTATTCGATGTTTTATCTCATTCAAAATTCGTGTGCTTGAATATTGGATTGTTCACTTGGGCAGGCCACTTCTCTCTCTCTCTCTCTCTCTCTCTCTCTCTCTCAATAATGACAAGGGAGGGAGGATATTATTATTTAATAGAGTGTGCATGATACTACAGCCATTTTGGATTAAATTAACGCATTCTGAGTTCAGACCTTTCACTGAATTCTTATAGGTATTCTACATCCCCCCAGTTGATTGTATCACCTCATGTTCACACCCACGTCTGCTTGGCCCACCAATCACTGTCAAGTCGGTGAGAGAGAGAGAGTTTCGATTGTCAACGCCAAATTCAATAGCATAACTAGGGGGGGAAAAAATATGGTGAAAGCCAGAGCAGGCCCATTCAATCCTTTCCTGTCTCTGAACCATTGCTGTGTTCCTCTTCCTTTCATCTATACTCTCTGTTATGGGTTATTCACTATTTGTCTTAGCAATCTTTTTCTTATCTTGTTCTCTTGTTTCTTGTATTACTTCAACAGAGTTTCTATACCCAAACTTCACTGCTTCCAATCTCCAATTCGTTGACAATTTTGGCAACTTTTTAATCTCTCGTAATGGAACATTCAAAGCCTCTCTGTTCAATCCAAATGGTCAGCAAACAAACTTCTATTTGTGTGTCATTCACATGGCATCCAATGCTATCACTTGGTCTGCTAATCGTGATGCTCCCATTTCGAATTCAGGAAAGATGAGTCTAACCCTTGATGGGATTTCAATTACCGATCAAGATGGCGCTTTTAGATGGTCAACTGCGCCATTGAAGGCGTCGGTGTCCGCTCTTCAGTTAACCGAAATGGGCAATCTTCTTTTGCTTGATCAATTCAATGTTACCCTTTGGGAGAGCTTTCGTTATCCAACGGACACGATTGTGATTGGGCAGAATTTGCCTCTTGGGTTATTGCTGTCGAGCGCTGTATCAAGCGGTGACTTGTCAACTGGCAATTACAGGCTCGCGGTTAGTGCCTCAGACGCTTTACTGCAGTGGCAGAATTTGACATATTGGAAACTGTCGATGTATACCAAGGCTTATACGAACTCAAATTATGCAGTGGAGTATATGGCGATAAACCAAACAGGTCTGTATCTGTTTGGTCATAATGGTAGTGTAGTTGTTATTCAGGTGAACTTGTCTCCATCTGAATTTCGAATAGCCAAGCTTGATTATTCTGGCCAGTTCAATGTCTTTTCTGGGTCTAGCTTGAAACGGGAATTTGTGGGCCCAGATGATAAATGCCAAATTCCTTTCATCTGTGGAAGGCTTGGTTTGTGTTCTGATGATGCTGCATCTAATCCAATATGCTCATGTCCACCTAACTTCCATGTAATTTCAAATTCAGCTGATTGTGTGCCAAGTGATGGTTCTTATTCCTTGTCAGTTTCATGCAGTTCAACGGATAACAACAGTGGGAGTAACACTTCATTGGTGTCATATTCGAGGCTTGGCTATGGTATTGACTATTTTGCGAATGATTTCACTATGCCTGTAAAGTCTGGTGTTAACTTATCAGTCTGTGAAGATCTCTGCTTGGCGGACTGTTCGTGCTTGGGAGTTTTCTTTGAAAACTCATCCGGTTCGTGTTTTGTCCTTCAAAATGAGTTGGGATCGGTTATGTCAACCACCGGAAGTGACGGTGATCGATTGGGCTTTATTAAAACACTAGTTGGATCTTCGCCTACAAATGGTAATAATAATTTTAATGGTCAAGCACTAAGATTTCCCATAGTTGGTTTGGTGCTCTTGCCTTTCACGGGGTTTTTTCTGTTAGTTGCCCTGGGATTCTTCTGGTGGAGAAGGTCCAGAATCTCTAAAACTGGAAAGGTAAAACTCAGCTACCCAACCTCTCCTTCTTCAGGGGAACTAGATTCCTTCTCTATCCCAGGCTTACCTGTAAGATTCGAGTATACAGAGCTAAAGGATGCAACCGATAACTTCAACACTCAGATTGGATCAGGTGGGTTTGGTGCAGTATACAAGGGTACTCTCCCAGATAAATCTCTAGTTGCGGTAAAGAAGATCACTAATTTAGGCATTCAAGGGATGAAGGATTTCTGCACTGAGATTGCAATTATAGGAAATATTCATCATGTCAATTTGGTCAAGTTGAGAGGCTTTTGTGCTCAAGGGAGAGAACGATTGTTGGTTTATGAGTATATGAATCGTGGCTCCTTAGACCGAACCCTCTTTGGTAATGGACCAGTTTTAGAATGGCAAGAAAGGGTTGAAATAGCGCTTGGAACTGCACGTGGGCTTGCATACTTGCACAGTGGGTGCCAACAGAAGATCATCCATTGTGATGTCAAGCCGGAGAACATACTCTTGCATGACCAATTCCAGGCAAAAATCTCTGATTTTGGGCTCTCAAAACTTTTAGGCCCTGAACAGTCTGGTCTATTCACAACAATGAGAGGTACTCGTGGCTATCTTGCTCCTGAATGGCTTACTAGCTCTGCAATCTCAGACAAAACCGATGTTTATAGTTTTGGAATGGTATTGCTTGAAATTGTGAGTGGAAGAAAAAACTGCTCAATACGAACACAAAGCCATAGTATTGATGATGATACTAGTGGTGGTGGCTACTCATCATCTTCATCAGGACCGCCACAACTTGTTTATTTCCCACTCTTTGCACTGGAAATGCACGAGCAAGGAAAGTACTTGGAAGTTGCTGATCTGAGGCTAGAGGGGCGGGTCACTAGTGAAGAAGTGGAGAAGTTGGTGCGTGTGGCTTTGTGTTGTGTTCACGAGGAGCCAGCACTTAGACCGAATATGGTTAGTGTTGTTGGCATGTTGGAATGTGAGATACCTGTGGGTCAGCCAAGGCTGGAGTCTTTGAACTTTTTGCGCTTTTATGGGCGTCGATTTACTGAGGCTTCCACAATAGAAGAGAACGATGGGCAAGATGATTTTATGTTATATCCACGAGCAAATGCTTCTGTTAGTAGTAAAATGAGTGGCTCACCTACTTCATTCTCTTATATATCATCACAGCAGGTCTCAGGCCCAAGATAGTATTCATTGGCTGAGATTTTTACTACTAGTTTGTGGTTTACTGTGGATTAATTGTGTGCCATTAAATGTACGTAATTCTATTTTTCATTTAGCTATTGTAGTCTCTCTAATGAAATTCAATAACTCAATTCTTACTTCTTCTTGTACACTGCACGGTGTTTTAATGGCTTAAGTAAAGTGATTGTTTTTTAGTAGCTTTTTAGACCTGACAGCCTTTTATGTGTCCGATCTGGCCTTTCTATTGTTTGTTTACTGTCTATGAGTATCATTAATATCCTTTTGCTATTGTTTATAAATACATTCTCGAACTTTTGTTTATATTATATTTTTTTTTCATTTTGCATTTCAATCTCAGACATAATTTTGTATTTCCTTTTTATATTAAGGCTTGTTCTTCACGATTTTTTGCTTTTTTCCGTTAAATCTTGAACACGTTGGATAAAATTATTAGCTTGTGGATAAAATTATCTAAATTTAGAGGGATTCCACCTTCTAGAAAATAGAATAAAACAAAGTAGAAGTACAAAACCATTACTAGATGAATTCACATTTTGGATTTTAATTGCTTGGAATATAATTTTTGTTGCTTAGCCTGGTTTTTGAATCTTGTGAAGCATAACCTAGAAAGCGAAAATTCTATAGTTGGAGTTTTGAGTATACAAAATAAAGAAAGGTTGAGATTACTCGAGCACTTTTAAAGCTACAAATCAGTTTTATTTTTTGTTTTGGCTATAAAAGATTAAAACTGGGTATATTTCATGGTATTATAACATCATAACATTGAAATCAACCATCCAATTAATTTGGGTATGCTTCAATCAATAGGTGATTGTTTGCTTCTTTTGTAATTTTTATGATGATATGAGCCAAAAGACCAACACCTTTTTCTTAAGTTAATGGTTTGCTTATTATAGTTTAAATTAAAGTCTAGAATTGTTGGTTCTTCTTCACACTATTGTTTAGGATCCTTCTTGTGTTGTGTTTTTAATTTTGTGATCCTACAATGGGCTCATTATTGACTTATCTAGGGTTATCTTTGCGTATATTTTAAGGAGAAAACGACAATTTCTCTATTTCCGGAACCTATCATAATATGTTCTCAACCAAATCGAGACACTTTGAGGTAGTCTATTATATGATCTAGAAAATAACAAAATAAAAGAAGCATTTAAGGTTGTGAATTTGTGGATTTGCCTGTGCCCAATTGAAATCATGTGATTAACATTTTAGTCTTATTTTGTAGTTATTTAGGATATTAAAGGCTAGAAGGAAGTTTTCGATATTTCCCTCATAGTTTGGGCACCTTAGCACAGTTCTACAATTCTGCTGCAACTATTGATATGTAAATCTATTCAGATATTCTGATACTAAAGCACTTTTCTTCTTAGTTTATTCATTCTTTTAGGGGAAGGTTTTAGGCAAGTGCAAACATTTTTAGTTATTGATATTATCATTCAATACCAAGTATGAGATGGTTTCATGGATTAATTTAAGTTCAAACTGAATAATAGAAATAATCTTATTTAAGAAACATTCAGGGGGTACAATACATTGGACTGTAATGAAGATAATTTCTCAGCAAAAGCAATAGATGAACTGAACCAGAAACAATTCTGTACCCACAAATCCTGAAAGTTCCTCTGTAGAGGCACAATCATACTTGAGTGGAACTGGGACAAAAACAGACATATTAATATCGAGAACCAGCATAGACTTTTCCAATGCCAACCTCTCAGCTCAATAAAATGCAATTATTGTGGAATCTTATTGAATTTGCGATAACGGTACTCAGCATATGTTTTGGTTGAATATTTTGCTGGGTTTTTCTCATCAATGAGCTCTGGAAGAGGTCCAATCACTGCTTCATGAGGAGGCACGACAAACACAGCCCAAGACATTCTTGTCCTTTCTTTGTTCACCAAACTCCTGTGAAGAACACTCTTGTACTTACCATTGCTTAGTACCTGAAACAAAATGTTTTGTAAGTTGCAGCACTGAAACGCTTTCTGAATCTTGAATTTTTTCACTAAAGTCAGGCTAGATATTGGCCCTGTCTAGTGCAGCAGATGTTTACAGCATTTTTCTTTTGAAAATTTGTGCCAATGTTTGATGCAGTTTCTGCTTTTAACTTATGAGGCAAAAATATTTATAAAATGTAAAATAAAATAAATAACTGATTGTTGAGAAGTACACGAATGAGTGCTTTTGGCTTTCTGTTTCTAATTATTAGCTTTCAACTTACAAAAAACTGTCAAATAGACCCATTGCTTGAAGAACTCTATGTTTTCACATATATATGCTAAATTTGAATCATTACTGTCATATTCAATGCAATTTTCTCCAAGTATGGTGTTTTTTTTTTTTTTTTCCTTTTACTAGACTTTTTGTTCATTTGTTTGATATTTCTAGGTGAGCAAGAGAAGAGTATTTTTACCTCAAGTTGATCACCAACATGGACGAAGAGTGCATTTGGCAAGTAATTGACAGCTACCCAATTACCGTCTTTCCAAACTTGAAGACCGGGAACGTCATTGGGGACAAGTAAAGTGAGAGCAGACATGTCAGTGTGAGGTTCAACTCCGAGGGCGAGCTGAGGTTGTGGGCATGGTGGGTACATGTTGATTTTCATTTCAAATTCAATTTCATCACCACCCAAAGAAGAATTCAAAACCTTCCCATCCAAACCTAGTCCCTCTGAGAGAAGTTCAAATAACTTGTTGGTTGTTCTCATTATTTCCACATTGTATTCCTCTGTCACTCCCCTGCATATTTACATGTTAATTTCATCATCTGAATTTAAGTGACAAAAGTTATGTTGAAAAATTATTTGGAAAAATAAGATCTGAAAGTTACTTTTCAATCTCTCTCTATCTCTTCCCATCAAAAAAAAAAAAAAAAAAAGAAAAGAAAAACCTCTCTGTCTCTCTGTTTGTGCATGCACGCGAGCGTGTTGGGATTATGAAGGGTAGTTCTATTGTCCACACACATCTTAAAAGTGGATCATATGTTTGTGTTGTTTTGTGTTGTTTTGTTTTTTCTTCTAAAGTGGTCGTGACTATGAATTAAAGTCGTGCTAATTATGATTTCGAAGTGGTGGTTACATTAAAGTATAATAATGTCAAATGTTGATTTGTTAAATTTGGATTCTAACTTAAACAGTGAAAATGGAGAAATTACAATTAGTTTACTTATAATTGATAGGTTTAGATTGTACAAATTTTAAAAAGTGAAACTAACATATTTATTTATTTATTATGATTACAACTGAACAAAAATTACCAAACATGCTCAATTGTTTATTTTTTACTTTCTACTCATAATGATGGTGTCTATTATTCTTGCAAATAGAAACTAAAAGGGTTGGGCTTCTTTTCGGTTTGTTCGAGTGGCAAAGTTTACCTTGGATTCTGTTGATTTGAAAAAAAAATTTAAATTTTTTTCTGTGTATATCATTCATGAAAAAAAATAAATTGATCTAATAATTATAATTTTTTTAATCATATTTATTTCCAAAAAATAAACGACAATTGCGTTTTATAAAATAGACAGTCATCGTAAATAGAGTATTAGAAATATTTAAATGGTGTCTCCAGAATTAATTGATTGGCACATTTTAGGTATTTTGACAATGTTTACAGTTTACTATCTTTTGTTTACAGAAAATATTAAATATGTTTATGTTTATTTTGGATAAAAATGAAAACAAAAAAAGTTTTTGGTACGCAACTTTTTAAAAAAAATTATTTTAAAAACAAGTGAAAATGAGTAATTGCGATAGGTGGTTGTCAATTATTGGAGTAGTGATCGAATGTGATTGTTAGTCACGAAAGGTAGTGGCCAAAAGTGGTTATTATTGGTGTCAGGTGGTTGGCAATAACCAAAGGTAGTTAATGGCCACGGGGAGTAGTGGTCGAAAGTGATTGTCTATGGACAAAGATAAGGGCTAGTCGATCTCCTAGGATGGTAGTTGTCGGTGTTTTTTAACAAAACGTGGTTACTATTGGTGAGAGGTGGTTGGTGGCTATGACATATAGGCCCTATTTAGAATAAAGGTTGGGGCTAAAATAGTCATATAGGACAAAATATGTTATTTTAGCCAAATAAGACAAAGGCCTTGTTTGGGAAGTGGCTATTTTAGTTGACTATTTTAGTTTTTGGCTATTTTAGTAGGCTAAAATTTTTGTGTTTGAAAAAATGATTGGATTTTTTTGTGATGTTTGTGAGAGAAAAAGTGAAATAATTATGGGTTTGATGTGATATTTTGTCTTTTTGTGATTTTTAGTCTAAACTAGGCTATTTTTTTTCTTCCTAAACACCCCCATGTCATATCCAACCGATAATCATTTTATTTTTTCTCTTACAAAAGTCAAAAAAATCAAAAAGTCTATCCTAAAAGAAGCTATTTTAGCTTTTAGCCCCTAACTAAAATAGCCAAAAAGTCAAAAAATTAAAAAGTCAACCCACATTCCAAACAAGGTGGTTGGCAATTGAGGAGATACTGGTTAGAGATGGTTTGTGCAAGATGTAATTAGCAATGATAGCCAATAATGATTAGAGGTGTAAATTTGGCCTGGCCTGGCCTGGCTTGACCTATGTCAGGTCTTGTGGGTTCTTATCAAAATTCAAGCCGAGTCGGGCCGTTCCACGGACCAGAAAATTAGGCCTAGGCCTAGGCCCGAGGGGTATCCGGGTCTCAGGGCGGGCCGGTGGTTCTAGGCTTGAGCTCGGGCTTGGGCAGGCTTGAACAAATCTTTTTATTTTTTGTTTTATTTTTTTCTACCAAAATTTTATTATTTTCCACTAGAAAAACACTGGGCCTCGGTAGGCCGGACCTCGGACCGGGCCTTGAGTGGGCCTTAAGGGGGCCGATGGGTCGGACTTCAAAATGATGGCACAGGTCTAGGGTCTAAGGCTGGGCTCGGGGCCCCGCTCAAACGGGCCTAAACAGGAGGCTTATCCTAGATCGAGGGTGTATTTCAAGCCGCAGGCCATTTTTATACTCCTAGTAATAATGAACAATGGTCTGTGATTCAAAAGAGTAAAAGAAAGGATTACAAGAAAGAAGAAATGAAAAAAAAATAAATTAAAATTAAAATCAATTTTTTTGTATTTATAAAATTTAATAAATTTTAGAAATTGTTTACAACCTTTTAAAACTTAAAACATAAATCAAATAAAATTTTATTTATAATTTTAAAAATTCTGTAAATATAAATAATAATAAAAATGTGAAATTAACGTTATTAAGCCCTCGTTTGGGAACGGTCTCTTTTAGCTTAAAAGTCATAAAGTTATTAAAAAAATCAAAAAATCAAAAATTTATATCAAAAAGTCAAAGATTTTCCTTTCTCTTTACTTTTTGCACATCTTTTCGTAAAAAGTTAAAAAATTATTTTAAACATACTAATTTTTTTTAATTTATATTTTAACTAAATAATTAAAAAATTATTAAGTTAATTTAAATAGGAATTATTAATGTCACTTCAAACACAACTACCAGTCTTTTTTATTTTAATTGAATGTGGCAGGACAGTAGATAATGATAAAATGTAGGCCGCTTTGTCAAGCACAAAAAACAGCTTAGTACGAATGGGCTGATCACTCATCAATCAGGGGTGGGCTCAATTGCCGAGATCTCATGAATGAGCCATCGCAAAAATAATTAAAGAATTATTTTTGGACAGGTAAGATGGACCTGTCATGAGTCGCTTTTGATATGACGTGTGGATATTTATTTATGTGTGAGAGGAGAGAAATTATTAGTGGGTTTAGGAATAGGACCTTGCTGGAGACCCCAGCGGGGCAGAACCCCACGTGGGGGCTGGGAGGCAAGGTTAGAAAAAGAAAAAAAGAAAAAAAAAAAAAAATAAATAAAAAAAAAAAAAATTTCACTAATCAAAAAATAGTGGGGTGGTGGGTCACCTCCACTGATCTCTAAGGCATTTCTTGAAGTCAATGTGGCTCTTCCATTCAAAGGTAGTCCCTCTCGTAGAAAAATAGCATATTATTTTTCTTTCCATATATTTCCAAGAAACCTTTTCAAATTTTGGCTAAGCTAACTTTAATGACCTTTTAATAATTTTGTAACAGCTTCTCTGTTACCTCATGAAACTTTAACTATATTGACTCAATTTTAAAAATAAATAAATAAATAAAAATTGTTCTTCAAATTTTTTTCCCCTGAATATGCAATATTACTAAAACTTGAAAAATCATGATAGAATTTATATAAGATTATGTGAATCATACATACCTGTATGAAGAAGGGTTCTTAGGCCACATGTCAAGATTGAGCTTCTTAGGAGGGTGCATGACGTGAAAATAATAATCAATCCACTCAACTTTCTCATCAAAATTTTTAGTCATCTTTGTTCCATACCCTTCAAAACTCCCACTTGAAGGATCATTTGCATAGCTCTCTTTCTCCTTCTGTGGGAGCTTAAAGAACTCCTCCCCAACCTCTTTTAGCCGTCCGATCAACGAGGGCTCGACACCGTGATCTGTGATGAGGAAAAATCCCCATTCACTACAAGCCTTTGATAATGCATCGACCACCACATCGTGTGGTTGAGAGAGGGAGATCACGGGGACGGTGACACCTTCGATAGCCTTGCTGTTCTCCGGTTGCTCGTGGGCCGGTCGGATAAATTTTGCAGGGAGCTCATGGAGAGTTACATGGGACAGGGCTTGCACTCTCTCTACCTCCATGTTTGTTTAATTGTTTCTATTTTTTGGGTGGTTCCTTTAGAATGTGCTTGGAACTTGTTTGAGTTAAAAACACACAATGTTGGTTTATTTATAGGTCTCAAATAGTATGCATATGGGTCGGTTACACATTGTGACCCTTGGTCGATTGTTAGTTGCACCTACTGCAACTCACGTGCTAATGTTCGTAGTATCATATCTACTTCAACACATGGGAATGAACAGGCGCGGCCCTCACATTTTCGGGTTCACAAAATCAATAATCAATTGATAAATTTTTGACTCTTCATATTTTTTTTCATTAAATGAAAAAATAAATTAAAGATAACGGATAAAAGATTTATGTCAAAATATAAAAAATACTTAGCATTATATTATAACAATTAATAAATATCGCTTGATTTTCACTCTTCTTATATTTTTAGAAATAAATAAATGAATCATACTTGCATAATTTAGTTTTTTTACAAAATCATTTTCAACGAATAACAATATTAATTATTTTAAATGGGTCTTTCAATTTTTTTAATAAGTCAATTTATTTTAAATTAGTTTGGGTCTACCTTAATTTTTTTTTGACTAAAAACATACCTAATATATTACACTAAACTATAATTAGTGGGGCATTTTTTGGATATATTGTCAATGGATAACAATACTAATTTTTTAAAAAGAGTCTTTCAATTTTTGAATGGATTAATTTATTTTAAGTTAATTTGAGCTTTCTTCAATTTTTTTTAAACTTATAACATACTTAGGCCTCGTTTGGGATGCTACCTTTTTAGCCAATTAGCCAAAAAGTTACTAAATTATCCAATTAGCCAATTAGTCATACCAAAAAGTCAACAATTACGGCTTCTCTCTACTTTTTGCACAACTTTTTGTAATTAGTCAAAAAGTCATCCCAAACATACAAATTTTTTTACCTATCTTTTTAATCAATTAGTCAAAAAATTATTATATTAGTCTGTTCCCAAACGAAATCTTAATATATTATACTAAATTATAATAAAAAAGATCCCTTTTTTATATCTATTTTGAGGGACTTAGGACATGACCTAATGCGCCTATTGCCGAGGCCGGCCTTGGGAATGAAGCACGGGGTCCTCCCTCCCAAGTCCCACTATCTCTATTTGGTTAAAAAAACAATTGTAAGATATTTTCAAAGTAATAATATGTAATATTATTTATTTGGTATTCTTAATTAATAAAAAATTGTAATATATATTAACTGAATTATTCTTTATCTCTTAATTATTTAATAAAAATGAGTCAATATGTTATATGATTACATAATTGATTTGTAACACCACATCTACAATAGTCTCGTACGGTAACATTTATAAATTAATTTATTTGATTATAAAAAAGTTGATATTTGGTCACAGTTTTAGATTATAGTTTATTTGGAAAAAGAAAAAAAAATTATTAAGTTACAATTTGTAATTACTAAAGTTTATTTGAAATCTTTAAAGAGAAATGTAAGTTTATTTGAAATCTTTAAAGAGAAATGTTTGAGGGTCCGAAATCAGTGGCTCGAATTCGGCTAAATTATCCAATTAGCCAATTAGTCATACCAAAAAGTCAACAATTACGGCTTCTCTCTACTTTTTGCACAACTTTTTGTAATTAGTCAAAAAGTCATCCCAAACATACAAATTTTTTTACCTATCTTTTTAATCAATTAGTCAAAAAATTATTATATTAGTCTGTTCCCAAACGAAATCTTAATATATTATACTAAATTATAATAAAAAAGATCCCTTTTTTATATCTATTTTGAGGGACTTAGGACATGACCTAATGCGCCTATTGCCGAGGCCGGCCTTGGGAATGAAGCACGGGGTCCTCCCTCCCAAGTCCCACTATCTCTATTTGGTTAAAAAAACAATTGTAAGATATTTTCAAAGTAATAATATGTAATATTATTTATTTGGTATTCTTAATTAATAAAAAATTGTAATATATATTAACTGAATTATTCTTTATCTCTTAATTATTTAACAAAAATGAATCAATATGTTATATGATTACATAATTGATTTGTAACACCACATCTGCAATAGTCTCGTTTGGTAATATTTATAAATTAATTTATTTGATTATAAAAAAGTTGATATTTGGTCACAGTTTTAGATTATAATTTATTTGGAAAAAGAAAAAAAAAATTATTAAGTTACAATTTGTAATTACTAAAGTTTATTTGAAATCTTTAAAGAGAAATGTTTGAGGGCCCGAAATCAGTGGCTCGAATTCGGCTCGAAATCCAAAACGACGTCGTTTTGAGTTTTAATTTTTTTTTTCTTCGTTTTCTTCTTCTTCGTTTTGAACACAGGAAAAGAGAAATAGAGGCAAGAGAGAGAAACAGAGGCGAGAGGCGAGAGAGAGTCGTCGTAGCTCGTCGCTCGTCGGCCGATCGTCGCAGCTCGTCGCTCGTCGCAGCTTGTCGGCCGATCGTCGCATCGCAGCCCTGCCTCTGTCTTTGCCTCCGCCCGCCTCTACCTCCAGCCCGATTTTGATAGCCCCTCCAGTTCTGCTTCTCCTTCTTCTTCTTCTTCCTCCTTCTCTTCTTCTTCTTCTTCTTCCTCCTTCTTCCTTCTCAAATTCGAGCCAAATTCGAGCCGGGACTTTCGAGCTCTGTAGCATGATTGATCTTTAAATACGTGCGAACAAAATAGTCCCATTTTTTTTTTAACCTTAATTATAACTTTGACGGCATCTTGGATATATACACAACAAAAGAGCTATGTGAAAATTTATATAATCAAACATGTTCATTTTGTTTTTAGTTTTTATTATAGATTATGAGAAGTTGCACCAAATAAATTTATAATTATTTTAGATCTTTTAAGTTAATAATCTAAAATATTATAATTATAAAAGTTAATTTATAAGTGATACTAAATAAGCCCAATATTATATAATGTTCCGAAATTATTAAATAATTATCACTAAAACACTTATTATTATTTAACTACATGTCTCAATTTTTTTGGCATTTGAGATTTGTGTATGATTTAGGATTGGTTTGGGAAGTGGGTTGGCTTTTTGGTTTTTTTTAGCTATTTTAGCCTGGGCTAAAAAACTTGGTTTGGGAATGACTTTTTAGCTTTTTGACTTTTTTTTGTGAGAGAAGAGTGTAATGATTATAGGTTGGACGTGATGTTTTGTTTGTTGTAGTTAAAATAGCCTATTTTGTCTTTTGTGGCTATTTTAGCTACAAACCATCTTGCCAAACGATTCTGATTATAATGATTTTGGGGAAGCGAATGGAGATTTAGGGTAAAATATCTTTGGTGATAAAATAATAATTGACTCTTCATATTTTTTTTCATTTGACATTGGAATTTTTGTTTATAAATCTTCTAATTTCTCTGTTCTGATGTATTTTGAAGAGTGTTAATTAACACCAACTTTTATTTTCTAAACCCTTTATTTCTTTGAACTCTCACTCTAAATTCTAAATTTTAATAATATTTCTTTTAACACTTCACTTGATACTAAATTTACTCCTATTTATAATATCATCACTCAAGTTATGCACACCTATCTCATTTACACACCCTCTCCATCAACAGTAAACAATGAACGATGGTCCCTCTCCAACATAATGAAGAACAACGGTCCCTCTTTCTTTCTTAATCAAATTGAAACTCTAAATCCCAATTCATACTCCTTTGATTTTGATAGAAATTGAATTGAAGTTTATACTCCTCAAACTTGTCTAAAACCGTGAACACCATTGCATCTCTTCTTTACACTCGTTTGAATCTGAGAACAGAGTCGCTGGAAACTTTAACAGTTGGCAAAATTGTACCGAACAGAATATTTTTGTTCAGCACTGTGTTACCGAACTAAATGTTTTTGTTCAATACTGTGTTACCAAACAAAACCTTAACAGTCGATAAAGCAATACCAAACAATCACAAACAATAGAGCAACAATTGAAAATGACAAAGAATAATTAATACAAGGATCGAAAAGATAGGTAAACTTACAGATCCCACGCCAACCTTGTCCGAATTGTTGTCATCATCCTCCATTGCTTGACTCATTTAAACTGTTGATTTCTTATATCAACAAATTGTGACAATGATTTGAACCAACGATTTCCACCTACAGTAACAATGATTTTATATTAGGGTTTCGGGTGGTAATGAGAAGATGAATATCGTTTAGGGTTTAGGCTACCTATGTTGCTGTCAAATGGTTTGGTAGGAATGGAGGTGGGTGTATAATGTTATAAATTGTGATTTTAATTATCTTTATTTGGTGAGTGGGTGTTCCATTAACGATGATTTTTTATTGTAATTTTACTACATATTATAATTGTAATAAAAAAATTAAAATTAAAAAATCCAAATAATAAATATAAGTGTTAATAGTAACACTCACTTTTAACTATACAATCATTTTAAAAATTTTATATTTCGATATCTTCACCTCACCATATCATATCATGCAAGTAAGGGTCCATTCAGACAAAGAATTCTAGAACTTTCTACTTGGTCCCCCACATTGGTATTTTTAGACCAAATTATAATATCATATTTTTTTTCCCCTAATAGTTGATTAATTGGGTGGACAGATGGGGAAGGTGAACCCACGGGCATGTTTATTGACTGATTGTTGGGGGGCTAAACATGACTAGAAGGTTAGACTGATAGTTGTTTTTTTTTTGTTTTTTTTTTTTTTTGACATTGAAAAAAAGGACTCTGTAGTGTTATCACGGTCCCGTTGGGCCCTAACCCTGGGGTAATAGGTTGCCAACTAGAAATTAACCCCCGCGAAGTGATTGCCCTCCATTGGTTAGACTGATAGTTTGAAGGGCCCAAAACAGACAAAAGGTATATATATATATATACACACACCTTGAATGACAGACATAACATGAGTTACGTTTTAAAAAATAAAAAAATTGATTTGCAAACAAAAATTTCATACAAATAATTTTACAAAAAAATTGTAGTAGTGGTATTTGAATTTGGACGGTTTCCAGTTGGACTAGCCAATTGGATGGTTTAGTTCAGCCCATTGTGAAACTATTTTGGATCTGTCTTGACAATCCAATTTG